GACACAATGCAAAAGAACCAACAGACCCAAATGTGATCTGAGAAATGACAATATCCCTAAGGTAGTGAGAGAATGTTCTTAGGGCTATCCATCACTGATCCAAAGAGAGCCATTCTTGAAGAATGGAACATACAAGACAGATTGCAAAAATGGAACCACTGAATCCAGAGCTTCTTGATCTTCTGGGACAAAAAGTATCCGAGCTTTTGAATTGTTTGTCAGACTACAGCCAGTATCTTGCTCAATATGCAAGCATGGAGCATTCATTGTTGAAGCTGACAATGGAATTCCTTCCTACAGCCAGTATCTTGCTCAATATGCAAGTATGGAGCATTAATTGCTGAAGCTGATAATGGAATTCCTTCAGGAGATGGTGAGCACTCCAATTCTGGAGGCGTTCAAGAGACAATTGGACAACCACCTGTCAATTCAAGAGATAATTGGACAACCACCTGTCAAACCTGCTTCGAGTTGGATTCCTGACTTGAGCCGGGGGGGGGGGTTGGACTCGATGGCCTTATAGGCCCCTCCCAACTCAATTATTCTGAGATTCCATGATTCTATGAGGTGTTGGTCATGTGCCCCTCACACATAATTAATGATGAACACCAGACACATGACCTTGTTGGATCATTTCCTCAGTTCCACATGTGTAAATCCAATGTAGGATAATGCCCATATACAGTGGTGCCTCGCTTAGCAATGTTAATTGATTCAAAAAAACACACATCGCTATGGGAAAACATCGCTAAGTGAAACACCATTTCCCATAGGAATGCATTGAAAACCGTCCTTAAGCGAAACTCGCCATAGGAAACATCGCTAAGCGAAACGCGGTTCCCCCATTGGAATGCATTGAATAGGTTTCAATGCATTTCAATGGTTTTGACAGGTCCGTTTTCACTATTTTTAACGTGTCTTAAAATGTTCAAAAACTGTTTAAGATGCTTGGAAGCGTTAGTGCACCCTGTAAAACCTTTGCAAACTTAATTTGGCTTTGTTCTGAGTCTTCGTTAATTTTTGGTGAATTTTTTCTCCCCCCATTGAAATGCATTGAACTGTAGGTTTGACAGCTGTCAATGCATTCCAATGGGGGGGGGATTCACCAAAAATTAACGAAGACTCAGAACAAAGCCAAATTAAGTTTGCAAAGGTTTCACAAGGTGCACTAACGATTTCAAGCATTTTAAACAGTTTTTGAACGTTTTAAGACACTTTAAAAATAGCAAAAACGGACATCGCTAAGTGAAACAGGGGGACCCAAACTGTCATCGCTATGTGAGGCATGGTCCCGAACATCGCTTAGTGAAATTCCCCCAATGGAAACATCGCTAAATGGAGCGCAAGATCGCTCCTAAAACCTCATCGCTAAGCAAATACATCGTTAAACAAAGCAATCGCTAAGCAAGGCACCACTGTATATGTCAACCAGTTCATTGGGACAGGGATTCCTGTGTTCCTATTCAACTACTGTTTTGTTAGCAACCATTATAAAGGCCTTTATCACTGTGTGTAATTTTTGCATTACAATTATCCCTAAACCTACTGTTTAACTTTTCACCTAAGCATGCATATATCCATCTGTCAATCTGACGTAATGCCTCACCTCCGTGATGACTTCGGCAATATCCGCAAATGTTTATGCCCTCATATATTTTCTCTGCTTTAAGGTGCCATTAGATTCATTAGTTCTTTTGTCTGCTGTTTATTATTTTGTCATCATGGCTATTGTGCACATATTTTATTGCACATATTTTCTTGTGGTTTTTCAACTTTTTAACCGAATGCAAACTTTGTGAGGAGTCAGGACTTTTAAAAGGGCTGTACATAAACATTTGTATACGATCTGCTCTATGGCAATCTAATTTGGATCAGTGCATACAATCTTGATGTAGAGACATTACAAGTCACCTTTCTGCATCCCATTTTGGATGTTCCCAACTGTGTAGGATACATAGCTATGTATCTGGAATCTGTAGTAGGCTGAATGGAAACGAGAGCATGGATCCAGACTATAACATTCTGGCTACATCGTCACTTTTTTAGCCAAGCACCCTGGCTATGTGCATTTTATGTTAATGAATTCCCATACTACTGTTCACTTTTGGTCCGGTGTAAAATTAGATCCATTGGCATTCTTCTTGACTCCAGTCTAATGCTTGGATGACAACAAGCATTTAGAGTACAGTATTGTCCCAGAGACTATATGGTACTCAGAGACAAGAGCTGTTTTTTGTAGCAAACAGGACCTGCTCGCCTCTTGCAGATTGTGTGTTGCCAATATGTGGGTCATCTGCAACTTATTTAACAACACTTAGAACATCCTAAGCTTGTAGAGCATTTATGCTTGCTAGATTCAATGTTCCACCCACGACATTTTGGGAATTCCCTATCAAGAGAGATATTGTCCATGCATGGCTGGGGCTCAGGAAGTTTTGTCTCATGTCCTTCTACACTGTAAGTTCTATGAACAAATATATGGGATGGTTTAATTTGTTCCCATGTGCAAAGATTCCAAGGCTATCCAGATAAGTGGATAACATGTATTGTTTGTCAGATGGAAATCCTTATGTTACTGCTTAAGTTGCTAACTTTTTCCTTGATGTAATAATAAGAAGGGCTTACTTACTAGAAAATGCTTAGTAAGGAAGAAACAACTATTTTCTGTGTTCTTTGCATTCTGTGTAGGTCGGCTGATATGCATCTAAAGAGGTTGTATGACTGTAATAAGCTTATTATATAGCAAACAATATATAAATAAACATTTATATAGAAAGTGAGAAAGTCCAAAAATCAATAAGCATGGGAAATGTGTGATGTTTTAATGTTGGCTTCTCTAAGCCAGGGCTCTCCAGATGTGTTGGCTTATGGCTGGCTGACTGTAGGCTGAGGGGGCCTGTGATCTGACACATCTGGAGTTACCAGGTCACGGAAGGCCATTTTAATACATAAAGATGCATGACACAGCCTACTAAAGGTGGTCCTAAACAGATGTCAAACTCAGGATCATTTTTGAAAAATGAATTACGCAATGAAACCCGATTACGGATTATGTAACAGCATCATCTCATAATGATGAGTATGTGACGGACAGTCATTTTTTTGGATATCAGCTGATAGCAAGCCATCAACAGAGCAAAGCAATTTTCTAATGAGAGATTATGTACCTTTTACCATTCCAAAACCTCCTTAATAAAAATTTTAAAAAAGCACTCTGGGAATGAAGAAAAAATCATCCCAACAAAAGTGCAGCGGGAATCAATGTGCTGTTATGTATGAAATGACTCCCCCACCCTCAAAGATACAGTTCAAGTTTGTTTATAGCAAAACAACAGGTGAAATCACCATATATTGTTTTTAAAGAAGAAATATGATTATACATTTTCAATCTCCAAAATGTCATTACAACAAGCAGTTCCTAATTGACCCTAGTGCAGAACCACACAGATGCACAGTATATCCTGAGTTAATGCAAATTTCTCTATATGGCACATTGGCATTTAAATCGCTGTTGACCTACACACACTGTTGTTGTTCCCCTCAGAGAGAAGATTGAGGTGCTTCAACGGACCCAGTGTAGCCTCTGCAATAAAGACTACATGCCCCAGAATCCTCAGCAGGAAATGGACCCTTTACACATGATTCCCACCACGGAGAAACACCCCGATTCACACCAGTTATTCCAGAGCTTGGGGGGATTTTTTTTAAAAAGACTACAACTTCCAGAATCATTAGGCAGCATTGCTACTGCCCCAAATAATTTGCTCAAGCTATGTTTGATTCTGTGAGTTTTCTCCCCCATTCACTGTCTGGGAAACAGGACTCCCTCAAGCCTACAACAGCATCTGTAGCCTGTACCCATTCATTTCCCAAATTCAGTTATTTGACCTTAATGGAGGGTTGTTGTTGTTTCCCCCTCAGGGGCTTCATTTTTCAAAAATTCAAAGGGTTTTCAGGGCAAGCAAGAATGCTAGCTTACATCCATGCAGAGAAGACCTTTTCCTATCTATGTAGAGGCCACATTGGATGGTACAGTATCTCCCTCAGCCACCATCACCACAGACCATTCATTCAGCCTTCTTCTAGGAGAGGCAAGACAAGACACAGGAGACCAATGATAAGATGTTCCACCATGATAACAACTTGATAGACAACAGCAGTGGGGCACAACGCTGGATCAGGACTGAAAACAAACAGGGGAAATAATTCTCTCCCTTTTGCTGTTTTATAAGAAACACGTGCCCAAACATTTTCACCAACAAAAAAAATTACCCTGTTAAGGAAATGGATGGCAACCTTTAACGAAGGAAAGAGCTGTTGATGAGGCACTTTCACAAGAAAAATAGCAAATCTTGGAATTACAGCCACCCCAGTTAGGACAGTTAGTAAATCAAACTTGGAACAATAATATTTAGCATGTTCATAAACATTCCCACTGGGGGTGCTGATTAGAAATGACGACGAAGCACTTTGTCACACTTCGTACGAAGCTGTCAGCGGGCCACTACAGGTGCCGTGCTGACCCACCTCCCATCCATTCACCGGCTGGCTGCCCCACTCACCATACTTTGCGTACTGCTGGGGCCCTTCTCCCCCAGTTGAGCTTTCAATCTGGGCAGGAGTTTGGCTGGCCTGTCCCCGCCTCCTCTGGCAGCCAACCATTCTGATAAGGAGGCAGGACAGATTCTCCCTGCACAATCAATGAGTGGTTGGCTGCTGGAGGAGGCAGGGAAGGGCCATCTGAGGTCCTGCCCAGATTGGAGCACCGCGGGAGAAGAAGGACCCCAGTGGCATGCAAAGAATGGTGAGCGGGGGCAGCTGGCTGGTGGGGGTGGAAGATAGGCCAGCACGGCATCTGTGCGTATGAAGCACTTAATGCCCATCCCTAGTGTTGATTGAGCTTTCACAAAATCAGTCCATGAGCACAATCTAGGAATCATATGTTTTAGCATCCCAGTCATAGTAGCTATGAACAAACAGCATTTGCCAGACTTACATACCTAGGAGTGCCTCGAATAAGCTGCTTTTAAAGATGCCCATCACTTTCTTGATGGCCCTTTTCAGCTGTTGCTCCTCTGGCTTTTTTAGCTTCTTGCAGTAATCTTCCAGGAGTGCTAAAGCTCGGTCTGTATCTAAAAGAAACAGCATTATTTAAAGAAAATTGTTTATCAAATTGAAAAGTAGAGACACACAACAGGGAGGGCCACAGCATTGTAAACAGAGCAGGAGACAACAACAACAACAACAACAACAACAACAACAAAAGTAAAAAAGCTAGTGCTATAACTAGGTTATCTAAAAAGCAGACCTTGGAAATTGTATGTTAAAATTAACACATTAATGGTAAATTCATTATTTTTGCATTAAATGAGGTCAAGCAAGATGATGCATTTAAAGAGTAATGTATTGGAAATGATTCCTTAAGCTCCTAACTTTACTTTCAAAATGACAGCGAGAATCCGGGGAAATATTTATGCTTGCAAAAGGGCACTGGCATAATTCAGAGAGTCAAACAGCCACTAATTAACAAATTCCCATTGAATTCCTAGTAGTTCACCAGTTGCCTTCCTGGGCCCATAAATAGTGTAGGAATTATGGTTGGGGATTCGTTAGGTAGCCGCTGTTTGCTGTTCCTAGAAAGGTTAATTCCTTTACACAGGCATAAATATTTATTTGGTTTTATAAGATTTGATACATGCCTCCTGCTTAATGGATGCATCATTATTTTAAATTTCACGTGCCATTCCCAAGTTGTGCCTAAGGAAAGGGATGATAGTGCAGGCCTGCAGCTGTTAAGACTTGCTGCTTTAATTTGATTCCTTCCCTCTTTCCTCTTCTTTTCTCCTCTGCCCTCCTCATCTCTCCTTCCTTTTGTGTTGTGTCTTTTCTGTTCTATGCCTGTTCATGATCTCACAGAAGACGTGCCGGAGCTGCTTATGACTGAAGAAAAGTTTTTTTAAAATGTGTCACACAAATAATAAAGCATGTGAGTTGCTTGCAGAAATCCCTAACTTAAATCACCAGATAGAAAGATTTAGGGAACAAGGCTGAGAAAGAGTCCTAGCTAAGATTCCAGAAATCCATAACCCTAATAATAAGCCAATCGCCCAAAGGAGAGTAAATTCTGTTTTACAGATACACGATTCCCTGACTAGATTATCGCCTTTACTTAGCTTCATCCCTTATTCATTCAAATTCCAGCCTTTTTATTAGTCGGTTGAAAGTGGCTCGAGTAAGGTCTTTACAAAAGCAGCAGAAATAATTATCTGTATAATTATCAGCAGCATAAGACTGAGAAACAACACAGGCACATTTAAAACTATATACATTTAAATTTAAAGGCACTCTTTTATTGCCACATTTTGGTCTGGAAGTTGGAAGCATGAGTCCCAAAAGCATTTGCTGTCTTGCTTTTGAGGTGGGAAGAGAATTCTCAACAGATGGGCAAGACGGAAGAAGTTGACAAGAATTTCTCACCTCTCTGGGACAATTTCCAAAGGCCACTCACTGCAAGCGGCTGTCATCGCTCCACAGCATGACAAAGCAAATCTACTAGATTCCGCCAGGATTTTCCTTCGCCCTTGCCCTGATCTCTGGACAGAAGGGCAGTGTTTTTCCAGTCCCATTTTAAACTGCATGCATCGTTTGCATTTTTTTCCCTCTTTAAAGCAATTTGATCCCCCTTTCAGGCTTCTCCTTCATGACGGACTAGTAGCCAATGACGGGAATGTTGCCAGTGATTTCTAAGAGCCAGGATTTCAATGCCAAGTTGCGAAGCTGCAAAGTTGCAAACTGAAGAGAGATGAGTTATGGGTTCATCACCAAAGATCAGTCTGGAATTGAACCAATGGACTGAAGTCTTTCCGATAGACATGGCTATTTTAAGACAGCGGGCATTCAATAAATAAAGACTCCAAGGCACAATTAATGGCATAACTTGCATTGGCCATGTCACTAGACTAGCTGCATGAGATTTCACAGACCTGAATTCAGTAGCATCAAACCCAACCTTATGTTCCATGGAGGGACACCCCCACAACCCCATATTTACTCTGCTTTAAATGAATGTATAGATCTATATTAATTTTTTAAAAATTAAAAACCTGGAATTGTTGGTGGTGTCTTTTTGTTTTGTTTTTGTTTTTTTACCTCTGAAGCATTAGCCCATAGTCCCAAATATTAAAATCTTTGACCTCACTAGAGCTTGGAAATAACATGTTTCAAGTAACACCGTTACCTTCAAGAGGTTTGAATTCGGGAAAAAGTTGCCAAGGTGATTCGCTTTTAAAGAGAACACAACAACTAGTAACATTGCAAACATTTTATGTAAAAAGGCAATGTTTACCTGCTGTTCTGAACATGGCAGGGGCATTTTTATTTATTATTTTTTATTTCACCTATATGCCGCCCACACTACCCAAAGGTCTCTGGGCAGCTTACAACAACTAAAATACAATAAAAAAGATAAAACAATTAAAATACAATTAAAATATAAAATATTTTGAAGGTTGTGGTTTTGTTTATTTGTTTTTTGTTTTTTTGTTTTTTGGATTTTAATAATTTGATTGGATCCTGACTTTGACATGCTTCGTCGTGCTTGTGTCATGCCAACTGAAATGACTCTGTTCCAAGCATAACAATCTCTAGATTCTACTCATTACATTTAAATGTACAGGAACACTTCAGTATCCATGGGGGGATTGGCTCCAAGCCCCCTCCCTGCAGAAAAATGTGGCGGTATTGAACACTACACATTGCGTGGTCCCTGACTCCCTCTAGTGACCAGTTCTGGTAAATATTTCTGGGCAGTGGGTAAGTGAATCAGTGGATAGTGATTGGAAAGGTCTACTGTATAGGCTTTTTCCCCAGCCATCACTGCTGCTAGGGCTTAAGTAGACATAAGGACAGCCAGAATCAGAATGGCTATGTGTTTTATTTTACAGAGGAGAATCCTCTGCTTGACATCCAGTCCAAACCAAGCATAAGGATTAAAGGATTAAGAGGCAGCAGAGGGCCCTTGGGGTTGCCCATCTACAGTCAACAGTTGGACAACAGACATTATGGTGAGAGGTACTGCATTGCTGTTGATATTATTTCTCACTTTTTTTACAACTTTTTACACACTGTACATTAGCACATGCAAATCTGCAGTCTCTTTTCTTTTTGGTGATGCATTCCCCTTTTGAGAAGAGTGGATTCCCTAAGCCATGATGGGAGATGATGCTGAAGGGTCAGAGCTTGAAAGACCTCTGGCTACTCCAGAAGGGGCCCAGCACAGAGCTGAGCAGATCGGAAGCAGAGCCAGAGCAGAAACTAATAAATTATTATGAGGGTCAAATTGTATATTACAGGTAAGTCCATCTTTAGAAGCTAAAATGCACTAATGTTCCAGAGACACTGTTCAAATGACTGAGCAACTGCACTACCAAAGATGCTTCGATCCAGAAAGATCAGTCACAACAAAGGTAGCTGCTTTGTGAACTGTGGGAGGTGTGAAAAACTCCCACTGTGACACCCCCACATCTTCCAGCAATTCTCGGACCCTTTTTCTAATGACAGGTTATCTGTAAAGTTTTGCTTTATCTTGGAGTTTCCATTAGTTATTAAACTTCCAAGCCCCCTCCCTGCAGAAAAATGTGGCGGTATTGAACACTACACATTGCGTGGTCCCTGACTCCCTCTAGTGACCAGTTCTGGTAAATATTTCTGGGCAGTGGGTAAGTGAATCAGTGGATAGTGATTGGAAAGGTCTACTGTATAGGCTTTTTCCCCAGCCATCACTGCTGCTAGGGCTTAAGTAGACATAAGGACAGCCAGAATCAGAATGGCTATGTGTTTTATTTTACAGAGGAGAATCCTCTGCTTGACATCCAGTCCAAACCAAGCATAAGGATTAAAGGATTAAGAGGCAGCAGAGGGCCCTTGGGGTTGCCCATCTACAGTCAACAGTTGGACAACAGACATTATGGTGAGAGGTACTGCATTGCTGTTGATATTATTTCTCACTTTTTTTACAACTTTTTACACACTGTACATTAGCACATGCAAATCTGCAGTCTCTTTTCTTTTTGGTGATGCATTCCCCTTTTGAGAAGAGTGGATTCCCTAAGCCATGATGGGAGATGATGCTGAAGGGTCAGAGCTTGAAAGACCTCTGGCTACTCCAGAAGGGGCCCAGCACAGAGCTGAGCAGATCGGAAGCAGAGCCAGAGCAGAAACTAATAAATTATTATGAGGGTCAAATTGTATATTACAGGTAAGTCCATCTTTAGAAGCTAAAATGCACTAATGTTCCAGAGACACTGTTCAAATGACTGAGCAACTGCACTACCAAAGATGCTTCGATCCAGAAAGATCAGTCACAACAAAGGTAGCTGCTTTGTGAACTGTGGGAGGTGTGAAAAACTCCCACTGTGACACCCCCACATCTTCCAGCAATTCTCGGACCCTTTTTCTAATGACAGGTTATCTGTAAAGTTTTGCTTTATCTTGGAGTTTCCATTAGTTATTAAACTCAAATACTGATTACTAAACAGGATACTTATTGCACTGATCAGACCAAAACATGAGAAGAAGCCAGCTAGATCAAATCAAAGTGCTACGTAGTTAAATTATACAATATAACTCAGTATTAGATGAAGAAATACTTCCCTTCATTTGTCAGCATTTAGTTTCAGTGAATGAGCTCACTGGTTTCTAGAAATGGATGATGTCCATATTAGGCCCAACCAACACAAAGAGAAATGTGTCTCGTCACATTTTGATTATTCTTAATACAGTGGTGCAGACAATGATAATCCGTTCCACTGAAATCGCTATTTAGCGAAATCATTGTCTAGCGAAATGCATTTCCCCATTGGAATGCATTGAAACCTGTTTAATGCGTTCCAATGGGGAAGAATCGTCGTTGTCTAGCGAAGATCAAGAGCCTCGTGGCACAGTGGTTAAACCGCTGTACTGCAGCCAAAACTGTGCTCACGACCTGGGGTTCAATCCCAGGTAGCCGGCACAAGGTTGACTCAGCCTTCTATCCTTCCGAGGTCAGTAAAATGAGTACCCAGATGTTCTTGGAATGCAATGCCCAGAATTCTTCGCCACTGGCTGTGCTGGCCAGGATTTCTGGGAGTTGCAG